CTCTAGTCTGGGCTACAGAGTGAGACACCAACTCAAAAAAAAAAAAAAAAATCTTTTGTAGTGACAAGCTGTCAATATATTGCCCAGGCTGATCTCAAACTCCTGGGCAATCCTCCCACCTCAACCTCCCAAAGTGCTGGACTTAGAAGCATGAGCCACTGCGCCTGTCAACCCATTGGTTATCAAGGAGCATGCTATTTAATTTCCATGTGTTTGTAAGGTTTTCAAAGTTTTTCTTGTTGATTTCTTGTTTTATATCATTGTGGTCTGAAAAGATACTTGATATTCTCTCTATCATCTTAAATTTATTAAGACTTGTTTTGTGGCCTAACATATAATCTATCCTGGAGAATGTTTCACATGTGGTTGAGTATGTGTATTCCACAGCTGTTGCATGGAATGTTCTATAATTGCCTATTAGGACTATTTGATTTATGGTATAGTTTTAGGCTGATGTTTCTTTGTTGATTTTCTGTCTAAATATTGTAACTGGAGTGACTAAGGAAGTGAGCTGGCTGGCTGCTGGGCAAGGAGCCTGAGTCAGTGGCTGTGTAAACCCTCTGTGTTGGTGCAGGCTGCCTCTAGACTGGCTGTCAAGCCTGGGGTGGATGTTTGGGGCCCAGTGGCTGTGGGAGCCTTCCCACTGTTCATGTCAGCCAGTTTCCCTGGGTGATAGAGTGCCTCATGGGTTCAAGCTTAGAGTCTTAGTTATTCCTTTGGACCTAGACTCCAGGCATCCAGGATATTGGTGCTACGGACATCATATGAGTTTAATGAAACGAAGGCGGGGGGCCTCAGGATGGAGGCATTTGGTAGCTACTGGCCTCCAGGGCAGGACCCTCCAGATGTAGGCCCTGTTTAAAGATGGTACTCCACCAAATATTTAGGTGGTGGGGGTGAGAGATGTCAAAGGGGGGTTCCTGCTTTGGGGAATGCAGTTGTGCTTACTCCCAGCAATTCTATGCTGTACTCGAGGCCTGTGAGGACTGGGGTACCCTCCTGTAGTAATGACTGCTGGCATCTGTGGTGGTGATGGGGACCCCCAAGGGTGTCCAGCTTACCTTTTCCTTGTACGAAGAGGTCCCCTCTGACTCCCATCCAATCCCAGCAAGGGAGTAAGTGTGGCAGAGGCAGGATGCCCCACTTGTCTCTCTATGGAGTTATCCTGGGCTTCCATGTCTCAGAGCATTTTTGCTGTTCTTCTAGTGCTCTCCAGCACACCTTCTCAGTCACTCCAGTCCAAATAGAATATTATTTGTTGTTTTGGTGAGGGTAGGGGGATGACAGGCAACTCTAGTTGGCCAACTTGCTGATCACTAGCCTATCATAATGTTTTTTCTGATATAAAATTTGGAAGAATTTCCAAAACTTAAGCAACATTGCTATAATAGAACATTTTCAATTCCCATTTACTTGTTTAATGTAAACATGCTTTTTCAGTGTCTGTGAAAAGAAGAATAAAAATAGAACTGATATTGAATCCTATCTCATTCTAGCAACAAGCCATGTTCAAGGGTAGATAACTTAAACTAACTGAAAAATATTAGTAAGCACCACCCATCACATTAAGAAATGTATACTTCAGTTAATTACATTTTCAAAAATACAGTATGCTTTGTATCTTGTGTTTCTTCCATTGGACATCATACTGTCAGGTTTTTTAGTTTATAAAAATAAGTTGTTGACTAAAATCCTTAGTACAGACAAAAAAAGAAATGTATACTTGATTACTTCTGTGCTAAATAGCTATCAAATTTTATAATAACACCTATGTTTTTATCACCATGTACTACTAATAATTGTGATAATAATTCAATCAAAGAGAAATTTTAAAAATCAATTCATTTGCATATTTCTGCTGAAGAAAAGTAGAACAGCATGATCAGTAGGACCATCAAGCATAACACTGAAATAAAGTTACATGGATGGCCAGGTGTGGGGCTCATGCCTATAATCTCAGCAGTTTGGGAAGCTGAGGTGAGAGGATTGCCTGAGCCCATGGATTCGAGACTAGCCTGGGCAACCTGGTGAGACCTCATCTCTACAATAAATCAGGTGGCACATGCTATAGTTCCAGCTACTTGGAAAGCTGAGGTGGAAAGATCACCTGAGCCTAGTAGCTCAAGGCTGCGATGGCTGACAGCCTGCCACTGCACTCCAGCCTGGACAACAGAGTGAGACTCCAACTCAAACAAACAGTTGTTCATACAACTGATAGTTAAAGTTAAATGGAGAAAGTAGAATGAAATGCTCATTTAAGGAGAAAAAGAAATGATGTAAAATTTCTGACTCTGAACCCATGTATATGTTTTTCAACTATATAATGGTAAAATCAAGTTGCTATAGACTGTAGATGCCACTGGATATACCTAAAATCATGACTTTTATTTTAAACATTTTTATTTTAAAACATTTTAAACTAAGTCAGTAATTTAATCATTTGAAAAAAATTTATATGTCACTTAAAAGTATATATAAGTGGGCACCAAATTTAGAGGGATTGAATGAAAGCAAAAATTTTGAAGACCACCATGATAGAGACTGTGGTCCAATAGAGCAACATTAAGAAAGTGCACTTGACCTCCCACATCTATATGACATGTTTCCAGTTAAGGCCATTCATTTAGGACCTGGGCCTAAGGAATTTATGACACCCAATAATTTCTAAACTTACCCTTTAAAGAATGTTGGTGTTTTGAGAAACTTTATTCCAAGTGGTAAGACGAGCTATCATTTATGAGAAAGAGCACTCTATCCCAAGATTCCCCAACTCTACTAAATTAGACTGAAGGTGGTGGATTTCATATAAGGGAACTTTCTACTTTAAAACTCTATGAGGGACAAACTCTTTCAGGTCCCCTCCTGCTGTGGGAGCTTTTCTGTCCTCCTAATAAATCCTACTTGAAAAAAAAAAAACAAAAAACTCTATGAGTCAGGTTAGGTGCAGTGGTTCGTGTCTGTAATCCCAACAATTTGGGAGGCAAAGGTGGGAGCATTATTTGAGGACAGAAGTTTGAGACTAGTCTAGGAAACACAGCTAGACCTCATCCCTACAAAAAATAAAAGAATTAATTGGTCATGGTAGCATGCATCTGTAGTCCTGGCTACCCTGAAAGATGAGGCAGAAGGATCCCTCGAGCCCATTAGTTTGAGGCTATAGTGAGCTATGATGGTGCCAGTGCATTCCAGCCTAGGTATTTATACACATACATATGTAATTAAAAAGCTTGATGAGTCAATACAGAAATATTATAAAATGGCCAGGCTAGGTGGCTCAGCTTGTAATCCCAGAACTTTGGGATGCCAAGTAGAGTGGACTGCCTGAGCCTGCAGGTTTGAGACCAACCTGGGCAACTTGGCGAGACCTTGTCTCTACAATAAATCAAAAATTAGCTGGGCGTGGTAGCATGCGACTGTAGTCCTGGCTACTTGGAAGGCTGAGGTAGAAGGATCGCTGGAGCCCAGCAGGTCAACACTGGGGTGGCCGTGAGTGTACCACTGCACTCCAGCCTGGGCAACGGAGTGAGACTCCAACTCAAAAACAAACAAAAAAAGAAATATTATAAAATAAATGTTTCAGTAAAGTGAACAGTTTTGACTATTAATAAAATAAGTTACTACGTATGCAGATGTGGTAATATACAGTATTGTATAAATATCTGAACTGAAGCCGGGCTCGGTGGCTCAGCCTATAATCCCGCGCCTTTGGGAGGCTGAGGTGAGTGGATTGCCTGAGGCTATGGTTCGAGACCCGCCTGGGCAGCGAGACCTCATCTCTACAATAAATCAAAAAATCAGCCCGGGCATGGTAGCGCATGCCTATAATTCCGGCTACTTGGAAGGCTGA